GGACCAGCAACCCACCCCCCGCCTCATCCCGCAGCCCGGCACCCAGCGGCACAGCCCGCCAGCAGCGTCTCTGCGGAGGGCAGGACCCGGCCTATGGCACCGCGGGGGCAGCCGGTGCTGTTCTGGCCGGGTCTCCAGCCCAGCTCTGTGGCTCAGAGCAACCTCTATTATTTAACCAGGAGCGATAGAGAGAGGAGCCTGCGAGAGGTAATATGCCATGACACCGGATAAGAGCTTCTGGCATCACAGGGGAGGAGGATTACATGTCCCTGAATGGAGTTGGAGATGACAGAGGGGAGGAGAAGAGTTTTTAGCAGGGGATTAAGCTTACAGCTCCAGGAAGGCTTTGGGGGGTTGTTTGCCAGTGTAGGACAAGTCCTAAGGCTGATATACCTGTTAGACTTGCCTAGGGAGGGCTCCTGAAGCAGGGAGCCCGTCACTGGGGTGGGGGCAACGAACAGGTCCTCAAGGACAGCCCTGTGGCTGCATGAGCTCACACTCCAGCTCTCCAAAGGGTGCCAGAGAGGTGGCGGCAGATACTGGGGTCAAGGGATGGAGGAGGAGGATGCACATACCAGGCACAGACTGGCCCTTAGGCCAGTCTGCATCCCACCCTCACCCTGCCCTTTTCTACTGGGGAAGAGGGTGCAAGCATCCACCAGGAAAGGTGAGGGCCAGATCCCCTACCTTCATCTTGGAGGCAGGCTGGATGAGCTCCGTGATGGAGACCTTGTCCTGCTGGAGCCTCCTCTTGACGAGCTTGGAGCAGCAGATGTTGACGGAGCTGAGGACGTGCCAGGAGTTGTACTCCACGAAGGAACGGCTGTCGATGACCAGGGTACCCTCCGCTCCGTTCCTCAGGAGGCTGGCCAGCTTCTTCGGGTCCATCACCTTGCGTGGGAGCCTGTCCCCAGCCATAACGGGCCCGTCCCCTCTATGGTGAGTGGGGAGCAAGGGGCAGAAGGGCAGGGCAGGGACGCCAGCACCCGTCTCCCTGAGGGGAATGAGCGAGGGGGTAAGGGGTGAGCAGGGCAGCACCCGTCCTGGTCTCCTCACGCTGCTAACACCCAGGATGCCAACTCATTTTGCTGAACCTGGAAAGAGATGAAAGGAGAAGACGACCGGTCAGCTGGGCAGGATGTGACACTCACCTTGGGCCAAGTCCCCAAGGGCTTGGCCTTCAGAAGAGTGTAAGAGTGCAACAAGCCACACTTTCTAGGTATGTTCTCCCAGCCTGCGGGCATCTGTGGCTCCAGAGCTGCCCAAGCCAGAGGTTTTCTCTTTGTACTTAATGGCCCTCAGCGGAGCTTTCTTCCATGAATTTTTCTAATTGCTTTTTGAAGCCATGTCAGCTTTTAACAGGCACAGTGGCCAGTGGCAGGGATCCGAACGGTTTGCCAGCTACAATGAAGAAGACCTTCCCCTGGTTTGCTCCAAATCTGCTAACCGATGGCTCTTCCAGGTGACCCTTACTACTTGCACTGGAAGAGGCCACACATGTCCATTCCCTAATCACCTTCCCCACGGTTCTCACCACATTTAGACCTTGTTTAGGAGCCTTTCAGGTCAGAGCATCTACAGAGCCGCCTGTTGCACAGGTGCCTTTTGCCACCCCAGCCAGCCTCAACGCACCGTGTTTGAGAGGCAGGCACACCAGGGACCTGCAGGAGGCAAGATGTCTCCTCCTTTCCCTGTTCCCAGACCAACAGCTCCTCGCACTCAATTTGCTTTTTCTGACCTCTGCCAAGCACAGAGCTAACGGTTTCACAGAAGCAGCTTAGCTTAGCTCAGCTCTAAGGTTTTGCTGCCGCATGGTAACAGCTAGTTCAGGGCCCATCAGACACACCACCAAATCAGGTTTGCTCACCCACATCCATCACTTCACACTGGATTTCACCTGCTTTTTTATCACAGCCTGCTCATGGGTATCTTGCCAGCTTGCCTCCTGGCAAGTCAAGAGAAGATGACCTCTCTTGGAAGCCAAGAAGTCGAGTTGACCTTCACTCCTGCCTTCAAGAAACAGGCCAGGCATTAGGGCAGAGGCCCTGGGAAGCTGTACTTGGACTGAGATGGCCCCAAAGAGGCTACTGTTTTCCAGCATCTAACTTGCACAGATTTTGAAAGGGAGTTCGTATACAGGGCTCCATCTTAGGAGCTGAGGAGAGTCGAGCCTGGTGCTCTCTGAAGTGCTACCAGAAGAACAAGCTTTCTCCATGCCCAGCCCATGGGGTCTGCAAGAGCAATAGGCAGGCTGGGAGGCATTCAGCTCAGGGTGTCTTCTTAGGTTTTAATGGCACACGTCATTGTAGGCATGTTTTAATGGCATTAGGTTTTAATGCCGCTGCAGTCATTCAGAAAATAAGCCTGGGCTACTACCAGGCTCCTCTTGTTCCTGCCAGACAGTGTTTTAGAGAGAACCCACAAGCTGTTCCATGGAAGCTTTAATGCATCTGAATTAGGAGGACTATGAATACCATGCCTGAAAAGGCCAGCGTAAAGATTTTCATTGACACCTGCAGGGCCAGGATTTGGTCCATGGACTAGAGAAGGCTTACGAGTCACCCTGATCCGAATAAGCCAGCAGTTCTTGGAAGCTCCTACACCCGAAGCCCTTGCAGTGCGGGCACCTACTGCAATGGTAGCTCAAGACACAAAAGAGATGCTTGAATAGGACATGCTACTGGGTGAAATGACAGGGACCTCAGTTACCAGTCACCAAACCTGGAGGACACAGCCATATCGCAGGAAAAGGATGGAAAGCCACAGAATTTGAGGATAGGGGTTCCAGCATTTGCTCCGGTTCATGACTCCAGCATTATCAGCCCCAGCTTCCCTGGGCTACCAGACCTGCCTCCCAAAGCGGAAGGTAGATGTCCCAGGCTTCAGCCTCAGAATTCAAGCTCCCAATAGGATATGCAATCCTCCCCTGCCCTTGTATCACACCCCTGCTGCCTCTGCCAACACGCTAATTCAAATCGGGGTGCAGGGAAACCCCCTAAAAGCTGCAAGTGATGGCCCCTCCTGGCACAAAGCATTTTGGCAGCCCTGCGGCACTATGGCATCGCTGTCCCCAGCCCCACGGCGAGCTTGTATCGTTCTGCAGCTCCTCGTGGTGACTCCAATTAGAGCTGCCCCCTCAGCGGGCATCTGGCGGTCCCCCCGCCTCTCCCCAGCACTCCTCCAGGGGGGCTTAAAAATTGAAACAGTTCTAATTAGGGGGTCTGAGGAGGAGCGAGGCTGGCTCCTGCTGGGATATGACACACCTCATTACGTCGCTACCGCCTTGCCAGAGGACCCCCTGCTGTACCTTGGCTATAGAGCCAGGGCACTCAGAAAGGATGCAAATTAGCCAGCTTTTCCCCTTCGTCTTCCTTTCACACCCCACTCCCCAAATCACTTTCTGCCTCCCTTCCCCATCAGGACACCAGGCTGCGAATTCTTCTCAGCTCTTCCAATTACATCCAAGAAATAAAAAGGGAATGGAGAGAGTCGACAGACAAAAAAGATGGGGATAACACTGCGGCAGAGGGATGAGAGTGAAAGACTGAAGTGGGAGGAAGGAGTGATCCAACATGGGGGGGACACATTGTACAGTACCTTTGGAGATAACTGGTATCTGCTCTCCAGATAATGAGCAAGGGGTAAACTTTGGGGGTCTCAGACATAAATAGAGGGGTCTGGGAAAGATAACAGGTCCTTGATTGCCTAACTGCCCTGAGAGAAACACGTTCAGAAGAGGCCTTCCATGCATGAAGTTCTGGCAGATGACCGGGAGCTTGGGTGGGAGAGATTGGAGAAGACAGATCAGGAGGTTTCCCAGCTCAGCTAATAGCCACTCTCCTGCACAACAACCGGATAAACGTCTGCTCCAGCACGCCCAGGTGGACCGGGTGGCAGACCTGTGTGACACGTCAGCCAGGTCCCACTCCCAGCTCCACCCGAAAGACATGGGGGAAGGCAGGGCAAGGTTGGTCCATTCTGCCCCTCTTTTTGGGAGCCTTTACGGGGATGAAGATGACTGACTGAGTGCGGTCATAGGGAGCTGTAACCTTGGCATTAGACCCAAGACACAGGGACTTCTCTAAGAGTATGTCCAGCCAGGTCAAAGGTAGAGGAGCCTCTTCTCTGTCAGCAACCACAGGAAATTTTGAAGCCAGACTGAGGGGTGGTGGGTTCATCCCCAGCTATCAGGTACCTCAGTTACCAGCAGAGGCTATGAGACCTTCACAGTACCTCACCTCACAGTGAGATGGTCTCTGAGAAGAACAAGCTCTAACACCTCCGTACCCGGGAAGGCTACCAGAGAAGGAAGGAAGATGTCTTTCTGCTTCTGCTCAGGTGGGTCAAAAGGAAAACTGAAGAACAGGCATAGCCATGGAGCACTGCTGAAGTAAGAGATCTTCTCACCATGGTGACAGGAGACCAGGGGAAAAGGTTAACCTGCAACCTAAATTAGGGTTTCAGAAACATAGCTGTGTCCCTCTCTTATCAGTTTATTAAAGCCATCTTAATCTTCTTGAGTGTTCCTGAAGAACATTACCATAATCCTTTAATCCCACCTCTCCCTGGAGTGCCTGTAATGAGGAGATGGGCACATGGCTTAGCTGAATGGGGACAGCCAAGCAGGAGAGGCCACACTGCAACCAAGGGACAGAAAGACGGGCAGAGCTTAGCACACAGGCTGGGCCAACTGCCCACTCATCGGGACTCTGTCCCCGGCATCACCTCCATGGACGTGCGTGTCAGGTGAGGGGTGCTGGCCACACGAGTCCCCAGCGTGACAGATGTGTGTGGCAAGCCGGGCTAAGGGCAAGCATTAACCTGGCTGTGACCCTCTTCTGGTCAGGCCAGGCAAGACAGCAAGAAAACCGAAACACGCCCCAGCCTGAGTCTATCTGTGTGGCATGACAGACCACGGGAACTCATCCCTATGCTGGCCCAAGACAGGTCACCAAGGTGGAGGCCACCTCCCTCAATTTCTCATCTTGCACAAGGCCCCCAGCTGAGAGACGTGGTATGGGAAGGGTGCAGATCTGGTTTCTCTTGTACTGGAGACATCAACTGGAAGGCCAGCATGTCTCTGTAGCAACAATAAACCTCACTAACCAGCATGTCCACTCTTTGCACCAAGCTAGTAGTTGTGTCTTGGAGAGCTCTACCCTCCACACATGGTCTAGTTGAGGAGATGCTCCCCTCGCTGCCTCGGGCAGGCCAGCTTTGCTGCAGGAAGCAGCTCTGACCTCATGAACACATTTCCATCATGTAAGTGAGACTGGATCTACAGCACGCTCCCTGTGATGCTCATCCCAGGAGCACGTTCTTCTGGTGGCATCTCCACCTTGAGGTTACCAAGGGATAAGAACACCACAGAAAAACGCCTGCTCGTTTGTCCCCAGTAACCCATGAAAGCAGCCATTCCTGAAAAACTGCCGTCTCCACCGGGGACCCAGCAGCTCTGAGCTAAGTGATCTCGCTCTTCCCCCTGCAGCCCACCTGGGGAGATATCTGTGTCCTCTGAGCCCTGCAGTGAGATGCTGCCTGGCCAGGGTTCCTCCATCCATCCAGGTCAGCCTTGCCACCAGCCCCAGGCTTACCGCTGGGACACTGGCAGGATGCCACCGCCCCCCAGTTCTCCAGACACTTATTAAGATGTAAAATGTGGCACTTTTGCCAAGCCCTCCACCCTTTTTTTCCTCCCCATCCCCTAATTTCTTTCAAGTGCTTCGGCACTTAGTGAACTCCCCTCGGCAGGCTCATGCTGTTTGAGGGATTCCTAAATCATGGGCCTATTACTAATTATTATTATTTTGCAGCATCAATCAGGGACGCTGGGCTCATTAACAAGTTAGCACCTCTGGTTTCCCTGGAAACCCGCAGCTGCCAGGCAACGGCTGTGTCTCTGGCCCGAGGCGATGCTA